GTGGACTTGCAGGAAAGAATGATGACTAAGGAGTCCAAACTTCCTCACCAAAAACACCTGACAGGAAGGTTCCACCGAGACTTGAACTCGGATTACTGGATTCAAAGTCCAGAGTGCTGACCATTACACCATGGAACCCACGGACGGAGATAAGAATGGCCCAACTCACCTGGTCTGCTTGAGGGGGCGAGATCTCCAAGTCAAATGAGACTGTTTTAGTGCTGACAGAAAAAGCGCTACTTATTTAACTGTGTCTCCGGGCATAAAGAAATTGAGGAAAAGAGGATTAAAACCCCTGCCCCGTGTGAGGGTCGGACTCACAGCCTTCAGATTATGAGACTGACGCGCTGCCTACTGCGCCAACGAGGCACAAAGGCTTCTATGTGTACACAATTCCAGTGTATGAGTTCAAGTTGTTTCCATTACCACAAAGTAATGAGCAGCATAGGGTGTGGCGATTTAAAAAGGGATATCTAGAAGGGCTTCTTCAAGGACTTGACACAGCGCCCCTCTACCTTGACAAGTAAACCGTCTATCGATCTTTCAGGGACTATTACATCTTCCATCAATGTCTAAATGTTTCAATTGATGACGTTTTGGCTTGTTTTCTGTTCTCTTTTATCGTGAGTGTCTTTTACAATGAAAGATTTTAGGATTGCCCTTTTCTGTGTTTGGTCGGCCAAAATGAAGTGATGCAATGCACACAGGTTCTGTGACCGCAGTTCACATTGAGGGGCTACAGGGCTATCTGATTGTTCTCCATAGCAAATCACTGACTTTTTACAGCACAAAGTGGACTTGCAGGAAAGAATGATGACTAAGGAGTCCAAACTTCCTCACCAAAAACACCTGACAGGAAGGTTCCACCGAGACTTGAACTCGGACTACTGGATTCAAAGTCCAGAGTGCTGACCATTACACCATGGAACCCACGGACGGAGATAAGAATGGCCCAACTCACCTGGTCTGCTTGAGGGGGCGAGATCTCCAAGTCAAATGACACTGTGTTACTGCTGACAGAAAAAGCGCTACTTATTTAACTGTGTCTCCGGGCATAAAGAAATTGAGGAAAAGAGGATTAAAACCCCTGCCCCGTGTGAGGGTCGGACTCACGGCCTTCAGATTATGAGACTGACGCGCTGCCTACTGCGCCAACGAGGCACAAAGGCTTCTATGTGTACACAATTCCAGTGTATGAGTTCAAGTTGTTTCTATTACCACAAAGTAAAGAGCAGCACAGGGTGTGGCGATTTAAAAAGGGATATCTAGAAGGGCTTCTTCAAGGACTTGACACAGCGCCCCTCTACCTTGACAAGTAAACCGTCTATCGATCTTTCAGGGACTATTACATCTTCCATCAATGTCTAAATGTTTCAATTGATGACGTTTTGGCTTGTTTTCTGTTCTCTTTTATCGTGAGTGTCTTTTACAATGAAAGATTTTAGGATTGCCCTTTTCTGTGTTTGGTCGGCCAAAATGCCTGAATGAAGTGATGCAATGCAGACAGGTTCTGTGACCGCAGTTCACATTGAGGGGCTACAGGGCTATCTGATTGTTCTCCATGGCAAGTCACTGACTTTTTACAGCACAAAGTGGACTTGCAGGAAAGAATGATGACTAAGGAGTCCAAACTTCCTCACCAAAAACACCTGACAGGAAGGTTCCACCGAGACTTGAACTCGGATTACTGGATTCAAAGTCCAGAGTGCTGACCATTACACCATGGAACCCACGGACGGAGGTAAGAATGGCCCAACTCACCTGGTCTGCTTGAGGGGGCGAGATCTCCAAGTCGAATGAGACTGTTTTAGTGCTGACAGAAAAAGCGCTACTTATTTAACTGTGTCTCCGGGCATAAAGAAATTGAGGAAAAGAGGATTAAAACCCCTGCCCCGTGTGAGGGTCGGACTCGCGGCCTTCAGATTATGAGACTGACGCGCTGCCTACTGCGCCAACGAGGCACAAAGGCTTCTATGTGTACACAATCCACTGTATGAGTTCAAGTTGTTTCCATTACCACAAAGTAAAGAGCAGCAAAGGGTGTGGCAATTTAAAAAGCAATAACTAGAAGGGCTTCTAATAAAATTTGTGCAAAGAAACTCAAAAGCAAAGAAACTCAAATGTTTTGATTTGTTATTTTAATGTTTACTTAAAGCACAAGCTGTCACAATTTTTATTCATCTTTTCAGGCGTTTTTTTGCAGCATGTTCATATTTCTAACTTGTATAATTTTGACTGGATATTTTTTTATGGAGAGCAAGATATTTTAAGTTATTTAAAGTTTAAGTTCATTTATTGCAGAATAACAATCCTGTCTGTTTGTATTCATATTCATGTTAAAAGATACATTTAGTTTTAGTGTGTTCAATAAATGTTTATGTTCGGCCCGCGACCTGAAGTGTTTTTTGAAATTTGGCCCCCTGTGCAATTGAGTTTCACACCCCTGCTCTAGTCCTAAAGTGCATGACTCCGATAATGTTGCAGAGACCAACACAGATTAAAGTGACATGGTTATGGACATTTAAGAAAACCTCGGGGATCTTTTTCCCAGAAATTTCTGTTTATTCTACTTGAAATTGCAGGGACAGTTTCTGCTACCTGCGTCGACTATACAGAACAACGTTGAGGAGATGCAAAACATACATGAGCTGGGTCAGACATATACTTTAAATAAGCTAACATAACATACGCTAACACTTCTTAAAACGGACACACCTTTATCAGATGAGGACATCAGCAAAGTTTGTGAGTCTGTCAGGGGATTTGATCTTTACTTTGCATGTCCTAAAGGGCCAGTGAAGACGTTACACTCAAGAGCTCAGTGTTTCAAGCCTAAGAAAATATTTTTAGGAAGAGAGGAGAACAGGACAGATGGATTTGCATATTATGTGCCTGTAAAAGAGACTCAATTTTTGTCTGTGGAAGAACTGTGACAGGAGAGCACTCAACAGAGTCTCCTGTCACTGGAGTGTGTAGCTGGAAGATATTAAACCAGGGGGCTCTGGGAAAGACCCTTGGATGTACTTCACCTTAGGACACACATTTACCTCACGACTTCACTCTAGATTATCCCGACATTGACACACACACACACACACACACACACGCGTTGACTATGAGCAGCCCCTAGACTCTTTAATATCGACTAAGACAAAACATTATTTAAGTTCCATCAACAACATTTGAGCATTAACTAGAAGTCACTCTAATTTATACACTAGGTCATAAGCTTTTACATTATAGTTCTGTAGGTCAGAATGACTTATTGTGTCAAATGCTGCTTATCACTTTTTTATGCTGACGACAGTGTTATTTATTGTTGTGCGTCCTCACTGGTGCTTGCATTTCAGTTGTTACAATCTGCTTTTAACGCTGTACAGGACCACCTACAAAATCTCAAATTGGTTTTAAATGCCAACAAATCAAAAATCATTGTGTTGTCAAAAGCTCCTTACTCAAATGAAAATGTATCTTCTGTAAAAACTGCCCAAGGTAACCCAATCGAGATTGTCACCAATTATAAATACTTAGGTGTTCTTTTAGATAGGGAGCCCTCTTTTAAATTACATATTGAAAACCTGGTAAAATAACTAAGACTAAGGCTTGGCTTCTTTCACAGAAATCGCTTGTGTTTCTCTTTGAGAGCGCGTAAACTGCTTGTGTCGTCAACTTTTTTACCTTTAGTTGACTATGGAGATGTGCTGTGCATATGTGCTTTGTCCAAAGGCCTAGCAGCTCTGGACACTGTATATCTTCACTCACACATCACTGTCAGCTTTACATGACGTCCGGGTGGCCATCTCTGGGCTCTCGGAGAGAAACTCACTGGTTGTCCTTGATCTATAAGGCTCTCCTCGGTATGGTTCCGTCTCCATCTAGTTGACTCTTCCATGGAGCAGAAAACCGGTACGCTTTGAGGTCCAGTGATATTTACTGCTTGTACATTCCACGAGTGCGGACAGAATTGGGGGAAAAAGCGTTCAGTTTTGCCGCCCCATCAACCTGGAACAATCTCCAGGCTGAACTGAAATTGTCTGAACTTGTATCTTTTAATGTTTTCCGACGTCTCCAAATGGACAGACAACAAAAATCTATTTTTTCTTTGTACTTTGTTTTTAACTTAATTCGTATTGTGGTTTTACTCATGTATATGTATTTAATGGCTGCTGCCTTCTTGGCCAGGTCGCCCTTGAAAATGAGATCTGAATCTCAATGGGACTTTTAGCTGGTTAAATAAAAAATAAAAAAATTGTACTTGGTCTTCTGTTTTAGAAGGGAATAGTCCCACTGTTCCTCTCCTTGTCCTTCACTTGTCCCCCTATCTGGTTGTTGATGCTGGACTAGCTGGCTCAGTCTGGTCAGCTGACCCACACAAACATGAGACCGTTGTCCCACAGCTGTGACTCCTGTCTTTCCAGATCTTTGCAGCCTTGCCTAGTTGGCGTCTCACTATATCTGTCTATGGACTCCGGTCAGCTTCTCTCTTCCCTGTTGAATTGTAACTCATCTACAGGGAAATATTAATATATAGTTATATCCCTAATTATCCAATTGATCTAACACTGATTATAACATGAATATACGTTGGACAATAAGAAACATTTTCCCTCTACATTGGAGCGATTGGGAAAAGAGAGCGAGGACCACGAGGGGCAGATGGTGGTGTCGGAGCAGAGACATTAAGGGCTGGAACATTACAGGTCATTTAGCTGACGCTTTTATCCAAAGCGACGTACATTACATTATTAACCCATGGCATTTACATTTTTGCCCAGGGAGCAATTAGGGGTTAGGTGTCTTGCTCGACATGGAGCAGCCCGGACTTGAACCACCAACCTTGCAGTTCCTGGCGGCTAGGGTTGGGAGCACCCTCTCTACTCAATGCGCCACGGTCGACCCGCATCCACTGGAACATCCAGTGAAGAAATGAGAAAGAAGGTGTACGGTTTTTTTGTGTACTGAATATGTTCTATTTTCTATGGGGGCCTTTTGTCTCACGGTCACCGTCTTATCGTTTATTATAGATTTTTTTTAAAAGTTCCAGTTTTGAATCTGTTTAATTCTTTAATTAAACATGTTTTACAGAATCGGAGAGGGAAGGAGAACGGTGTACTGAAAGTAAAGTAATGAAGTATTTAGTTGGACTCCTAAAACAAGGGACATTTTACAGTAAGTTTCCCAAACACGGCCTTAAAAAAGTTACAATAATTGAAATAAACATCTCAGCTCCAACATATACCTAAAACTAAGAAGAGCAGTACAGTATGTGAACAAAGACGTGTTTCTCTCTCTGAGCTTTAATAATAATGCATCTGGTGAGGACCAGGATCCGGGTCCTTCATTCTGACCTTGAGACGCTCATTAGCTCATTAGCTAACAGACAGCAGTCAAACCTCGTGGTGCAATAACTCCTCTGGGGGAGGAGGGGTCAGGAGTGGGGGAGGACCACTCCCAGTCTTTGGAGATGTCTCAGGATGTCCAAGATGGAGTCCAACTCCAGACGGAAAGCCTCCAACTCTCTGCTCTTGTCCTGAGCGAGACGCTTCCAGCTCTCAGCCTCCGACGTCTGCCACGAGCCAACCACCACCTGCCAGGGGGGCGGGATCAGCATCAACCATGGCTGTTGGGCTTTTGATGGATATACTAAATCAAACACAAGCTATTTTGGGGTTTGATCAACAGATGGTTTGTCATTAACAGCATAGGACAGTAAGACCAAACCCTGTGACATGTGCATTGTCTTGATGACAAGAAGAGCTCAGAAGGCTTCGCTGTCCCTTTGAGTCCAGATCAGCCTACTGAAGATGACTGACTGCCCTGAAGGCTCGTCTGTCTTCTCACTTTCTACTTTCAGGGTGGATATTCCGGTCATTTCATGACAAGGACGTATACAGGGCTCTCTAGATGGATTTAACCATTCTGAATAAAAAATGGATTTGATATTTGGATTTTCATGGGTGAGACTAAAAAAAGTGGTGTTGCACGGATACTAAAAAGGTAGCGCGGTATCCTAAAAGTGGGATTTTGTATATTTGAAGAATCGATACGTCCCTGTCATGCTGCTTGCACGCATTGACTGAAAGTGAAATGTGAAAGAACTTTGGCTGCGTTACATATAATCAATGCTATGATGGCACCACGTAGTTTTCATTGAGATCTTTCTGTAGGCCAATACTAATGTGATGGGTAGAGCTCCCCCTCCCTCTACCTGTTTGGCCACACCTCTCTAATAAGATTCCCCCAACAGGTGAGGCCAGATTACTTCCTGGTACCTTTAAATATATGCTTTGCCCAGGTTTTCCCAGCTCCACACTGCTCTCAGGAATGACTACAGCTAGTCAAGGTGCAGGACTGAGCGCTAAAGGGGACCAGTCATAGGGATGGGGACCAGCCACCCCATCTACGCAGCACTCGCCATGTGTGGCTGCACAATGGGCAATTCCCAGGTATGTCTGTTTTTGAAGCAGAGCAGGGTTTTTATTGGTTTCGTTTAAATATGCTCCATAGCGGTGCCGTGATGTTCAGTGGAATTTTACATTGTGTATGACATGTGCTTGTTTTTGTAATAGGAACGGGGAAGTTATGTCTGCTTTTGGTGGTAGCTGAGCTCTAGCCACTGCTGTTTTTGCCCCCCTTTTGCAAATATGTTTCGGATTTATGGTTACCTTGTTTATGCTAGTAGTTTGATTATGAATAGTTGGTAAATTCTGTTTTCTTCCTAGACAAGTTGGTGTTTAATTGCTTCTTTGTTTTTTTCCTTTTGTAAACCAACTGGAGTAGGTCCTATACTGAGGTCCTCCTAACTAGTACAGGTAGCCCACCTGTACTAGTTAGGAGGACCATAGGTGGGGTGGAGGGCTTCCTCATTTCTTTAGTTTATTTGGCATGTTTTATATTTGTTCTAATTTGTCTTTTTGCTTTGCAGTGTGTGTGACTTTTCCTTTCTGGTACCTGGTGGTGTCTCCTTTCCCCTTCACTCCCCCACTTCTTTAGACCTCCCTGATACTGGTACAGTGACATCATTTTTTAGCATAAAGAAGATATTTTTGTAATAAAAGCCGTATTTTTAAACTGAGACGGTTATCTAACCAATCTGAAGCTTATCTATAAATAAAACTGGACATTGTTCGAGAAAACTAGAAATTCACCTCTCTGCTCCCTTTCTTAAACAGAGAAGAACCTAATATTCAGATGTGGTATTCTCTGGGTGAAAGTCCCAGAGTGGCGTTGTCTCATTGCGGCCAGGCACATCAGTTGCCCCGGTCACACTAACATCATTTGTTGAGCGTTCAAATCTGGGCAGGAACAAGCTGATACAAAAGGGAACCATAGATAAATATACCAGTATCGTATTGTATTTGTGGTATTGTAATTATTTGGGTATCGTGATATTTATGCGATCATAATATAAGGTATTGTAATTATTGGGTATCGTGATATTTATGCTATCATAATATAAGGTATTGTAATTATTGGGTATCGTGATATTTATGCTATCATAATATAAGGTATTGTAATTATTGGGTATAATGATATTTATGCTATCATAATATAAAGTATTGTAATTATTGGGTATAATGATATTTATGCTATCATAATATAAGGTATTGTAATTATTGGGTATAGTGATATTTATGGTATCATAATATAAGGTATTGTAATTATTGGGTATCGTGATATTTATGGTATCATAATATAAAGTATTGTAATTATTGGGTATAATGATATTTATGCTATCATAATATAAGGTATTGTAATTATTGGGTATAATGATATTTATGGTATCATAATATAAGGTATTGTAATTATTGGGTATAATGATATTTATGGTATCATAATATAAAGTATTGTAATTATTGGGTATAATGATATTTATGGTATCATAATATAAGGTATTGTAATTATTGGGTATAATGATATTTATGCTATCATAATATAAGGTATTGTAATTATTGGGTATAATGATATTTATGGTATCATAATATAAAGTATTGTAATTATTGGGTATAATGATATTTATGGTATCATAATATAAGGGGTTGTAATTATGGTATGGTAGCCATGGAAACAGGACACATGTTGGGGCGATGGTCACCTGCTGCAGCTCCTTCTCTCTGTGCTGGTGCCGCAGCTCCATGTTGACTATCTTCCTCTCGAGGCCACACAGGAGCTTCACCTCTGGACTCTGAGCTTCTTTAGCTTCCTTCAGCTCCTTCAGCAGTCCGGTCAGCTACACACAGAGCAGTGACTTGATGGAATGATGGAAACAACTGTGAACTATCCATTTCTATGACCTTAAAACTGTGCTCTTCCTATTAACAATGGTCTTTAGACTCATTTCTAAGTTAGTTTTGTGCCATTCACATCTCTACAGTGTGACTGAGGCACTTAGAATTTTGGAAACACATTCTTACTTTTGACTTGGATGGTGAATTGTGCCAAATATTCTTTATATTATATGTATTTAAATGAATAGCAGATGGAATGTTTTGACCATCACCTGCTTCTGCAGAGCATCCTCTCTGGTCCTGGATATCACCAGAGCCTCTTTGACTCCCTGCATCTCTTTCAGCCGGTCTTGCAAATGTTTCACCGTTATCTGCAGGTAAATGTGACTGTTAAGCCATCAGCTTCTCTCTCAGGACTTCCTGTCGACATGCTGTGAGCCGTACCTCCTGAGCGCTGAGCTTATTGGTCAATTCAGCGACCTTTGAGGACGAGTGTTCCAGGGCGTGGCTGGCACGCAGCTGGTCCAGCACCCTGAGGTGCTCTGCTCTCATGGAGGACAGCTGCTCTGCAGAGTGCCCCGCCAGCCTTACAGATCACATTCACGTCAGTCGCGTCTGCGCCCTGCGGGACACCTCAGAGGACGTGTTGCTACAGAAACAGACCTGCACAGCTCCTCCTCGGCCCGTTCACAATCAGCTCGCAAGGCCTTCTTCTCCTGCTCGCTCTGCAGCTGCAGCTGCTCCACGCGGCGTTTCAGAGTCTCGTTCTCCTGCACGACCTCGGAGATGTGACTGCCTGTCAAATGACACTTTACATTACAAACTTTACATAGCAGGAGAGGTAATGCTATGAAAAGCTAAGGCAGGTTATATGCAATAGTGACATCCCATTATTCTAAGCATACCCCATGTATTAAAAACAAGTGACACACTGTCCTTGTTCCCTCCCCATCCTGGCTGTCAGGAGCTCCTGAAACCTACAATTCTAGTGTTGTTCAAATTGGACAGTTCAACAACCAGACTTGCTGGTCCTTGTCCCCAAATTCAATATGACCATTTGGATGTCCGTGTGCATTATCAAGACTTAATGGACGTCCCGCTAGCTGTCTCAATTGAGTTCCATCCGCACCTGTGAAGGCCGTGGGCTGGTAGGTCTTCTCACAACGAGCGGCTGGAAACGTTTCTTCTCCTCCAACACCAGAGCAGCGGAGAGGTTTGGCTGAGCGGACTAGTCTCTTCGTCTCCGTAGGACCGCTTTCTGCTTGTGGGTTGGGGGCAGATGTCACGTTCCTCCTCTCCTTCTGCAGTCTCTCCACAGTGCGGCAGAGATCCTGAATGGTGCGCGTCTTCGAGGCGAGGTCTCGGTTCAGCCGCTGTATCCTGGCGCCGGACGCCGCCTCGGCTTGGCGCTGGTGTCGGCCTGGACTGGACTGGGCCTGTGAAGGGAGGTGATGATGTCTCATCATCGCCCAGAGACCAATATTGGACATAGTCGGAGTGTGTATTAATGACCTGCTGCTGGAGAGACTCAATCTGGTCCTGCAGGCAGCGTTCTCTCTGCTGATGGTTTTCCTCCACAGGTCCAGCCTGAGACGTCCGCGGCTGATCGGGACGCAGGGCTTGCAGCTGCTGCTTCTGTTCCAGTTCAGCAATCTGCTGCTCGTAGTGGAGCTAAACAGTGCACACAAGTTCATGTTTGTTATAATGTGTAGCCAGTTTTTTAAATTTGATCTGATAGGATTCACCCCTTTTCCTTACTTGTCATTGCTGACATGGAACAAACTAACAACAATAAAGCTGCATTGATTTAGGTGGCTGTCTCTCCCCATGCAGCTTAGTTATGTATTTATTTGCAAGGAAATTCAACATGGGCTGCAAACCCCTCCAACTACAGGCTAGAGATACGGCCTCCACCATCCAGTAGGATTCCCATGTTCCCTTTTGTGAGGAGTGGGTCAGGACAAAAACAGCTGATGTACTTTTGTGAAACCTGCTGATCTGCTCGCACTGGACATAATGTGTTACGCCTTTGCTCCTCGGAGGAGGAAAAGGGAGGTGGGTGAAAAGCTGAGAGCTCCACCGTGGGACATCTGTACGCTGCCTCCACCACCTAAGGCACAAAAGCACACAGACCCTGGTGAGCCCTGGAGCAAACTAAGCAGGAAGGGCCAACGAATACGCTTTGCTGTGGTTAAAGACAAGAGTAACGCTGTTTTAAGTTAAATAAACTTTATCTCCGCTGCCTCCATAGGCTCAAACGGGTGTTGAGAGAGGGCCTCCAAAACCACCAATAGATCCCAGAGGAACCAGGGGCCTGGAAACGGGCACCTTTCATGAAACGACATACTAAAAGGTGCCCAAATGACAGGCTCAGATAGCCAATAAATATACTTTAGTAGTAGAACGGCTCGTCCATCCATTGCTGGATTATTTCTGCCACCGCTCCACAGTATTACCTTTCCAGCCAGCCGGTGTAACCGCAGTGAGCGAGTGCCGCCACACTGTTTTCACCAGGACGTGGCGAGAAATGTCAGAACAGGTTTTAGTGTGTAAAACACTGGCCAGCCTCTGGTCTCAGGTGCAGTTCACTGTTCTACCCAACATTGCTCCCTACCCTGATAGGGAGGCATCCGTTGTCAAGGTTACCCTGTATAACTGCGCCCCCAGCGAGAGCCATCACGTCCTCCCACGGACAGCATGTCGACAAAATCTCTCATCCATGGAAGCCCCACATGTACCACAGATATTACTGACGCCATCAGGCCGAGCAGGCGGAGCCACAGTCTGAACGACACCCATGTTCCCAGCCGGAAGAGGGAGAGGCACTGTGTGAGGGACGCCACTCTCGCCTCTGTCAGAGGGACGCGATAAGAGAGGGAGTTCATGTTGAGAACCAAGTAATCTGTGCGTTCCCCCGGTTCGACTCCACTCTTTTCCTCTAGTTTATACTGCACCTCCCTTTTTTAGGACGAGGTAACTGGAGTAAAATCCCCACGGAGCTTCGTGGCTCAGGACGGCTCTGATCGCCTGTTTAACAGCGATGTTATTTCGTCCTCTAGGACTCGAGCTGAATCGGCTCGAGTACTGAAACTAACACACCGGTGAATCTGGGCAGAGGTCAAAGGCTTCGCCTTCATGTATACTGAGCGTGCTGGCCTCCTCAGAGCAGGACCAAACATTACATTACATTACATGTCATGTAGCTGACGCTTTTATCCAAAGCGACTTACAATAAGTGCATTCAACCACAGGGTACAAAGTCAGAAGAACAAGAAACAAGAAAGTGCAATTTCATCAAATAAGCCAAATTTCTATCTGCTATAGATGAGTGGCGTCCAATTTAAGTGCTACAGTTAGTGTGTTAGTGGAGGTAGAGTCTGAAGAGGTGTGTCTTTAGTCTGAAGATGTGAAGGCTCTCTGTGGTCCTGATGTCTTCAGAGACCTCCTTCCACCATTTAGGAGCAGGACAGCAAAGAGTGGAGATCTAGTCGAGTGTTTTGCTCTCAGTGAGGAGGAACAAGCAGTTTATCACATGCAGAGCGGAGAGTGCGGGTCGGGATGTCGGGTTGGACCAGGTCCTGGATGGAAGCTGGACCCCATCCATTCACAGCATGGTACGTGAGCACCATGTTTAGAACTGGATGAGCCACCGGTACCAGTGAAGAGAGCGAAGGAGTGGAGGAGTGTTGGAGAACTTAGGAAGGTTAAAGACCAGTGGAGCTGCTGCATTCTGGATGAGCTGCAGAGGTGGAATGGCGGTGGCAGGGAGACCAGCCAGGAGGGAGATGCAGTAGTCCAGGAGGGAGATGACAAGAGCCCGAATCAGTACCTGCGCCGCCTTCTGAGTGAGAAGAGGACGTGTTCTCCTGATGTTGTAGAGCGAGTATCTACAGGATGGTGTTGTCAGTGACGTTGGGAGTCAGGGAGAGTTGGCTGTCGATTGTGACGCCGAGGTTCCTGGCGGTTAAAGTGGGCGTTAACACGGAGTTGCCAAAGTTAACAGTCCTGGGTCGGAGAGTCTTTTCCTGGAAAGAGAAGTAGTTCAGTCTTGTCGGGGTTGATTTTCAGATGGTGGGCGGATCCACTGAGAGATGTCAGTCAGACAGGCAGAGATCCGAGTGAGGGAAGGAGAGAATTAGTTGGGTGTCATCAGCATAGCTGTGGTAGGAGAAGCCATGCGAGCGAATGACAGCGCCGAGAGAGTTGGTGTAGAGCGAGAAGAGGAGGGGACCCAGGACGGAACCCTGAGGAACTCCAGTAGTAAGAGGACAAGGTTCTGACACAGATCCTCTCCAGGTTACCCGGTAGGTGCGTCCGTCGAGGTAAGACGAGAGAAGGGAGAGACCAGAGTTTGAGATACCAAGTTCCTGAAGGGAGGAGATAAGGATCTGCTGGTTGACTGTGTCAAATGCAGCAGAGAGGTCCAGAAGGACGAGGACAGAGGAGAGAGAGGAGATCTAGCAGTGTGGAGTTGCTCTGAGACAGCAAGGAGAGCAGTCTCTGTGGAACGACCTTGAAGCCTGACTGGTGGAGGTCAAGGAGGTTGTTATGGTGCAGATAGGGGGAGAGTTGGTTAAAGATCGCACGTTCAAGAGTTTTGAACAAAAAGGGAAGAGGAGAGACCGTCTGTAGTTGTTATCTTCAGAAGGGTTGAGGGTAGGTTTCTTCAGGAGGGGGTTGACTCTTGCCTCCTTCAGAGAAAACAGCCAGATAACAGAGCGTTGTTGATGAGACAGGTGAGGAAAGGAAGAAGGTCAGAAGATGTGATGGAATGGGGTCAAGAGGGCAGGTGGTCGGACGGGCAGAGGTTACTAGGGTAAGAATTTGGTTAGGAGACAGGAGGGTGAAGGAGGAAAGTGATGGCGATAGAGGTGAAGTCAGTGGGACGCAAGAAATAGGAGGTGGGTTTGACAAAGAGGAGCGTATGTCAGCTATTTTCTTGGTAAAGTAGTTGACAACGTCACCCCTGGAAGAAGGGTGGAGGGGGGAGGAGGACTAGGGGGTTCCAGGCGGCTGGAGAAGATCGCAAAGAGTTTTTCGGGGTTAGAAAAACTAGAAAAAGATTGGATTCTGGATTGGTAGAAAGAGCTTTTGGCAGCAGAGATAGAAGCAGAAAAAGAGGAGAGAAGATATTGAAATTCAAGCAGGTCGTCAGGTCGTTTATAGTTACGCCATCTCCTTTCCGACGCTCGCATGGTGGCTCTCATGGCACGCACCGGTTGAGACAGCCACGGAGCCGGAGGGGATTTGCCAGTCCGTCGGGTCGTCAGAGGGCAGAGAGTCTAGAGAGGAGGAAGGAGTTTTGCAGCAGCATTCGGATGAGTGAGAAGGAGTCAGTGGAAGGGAGAGCTGATAGAACAGGGGAGGCCAGGGAGGAGGGAGAGAGGGAGCGAACAGGTACAGAGTCAGTCAATGAGGGAGGTTTGTTAGTTATAGAGAGTGGAAGGGAGTAAGAGATGAAGAAGTGATCAGACACATGAAGTGGAGTTACAGAGAGGTTAGTGGTAGAGCAGTTTCTAGTGAAGATGTAGTCGAGGTGATTGCCGGCTTTGTGAGTAGGAGGAGAGGGACTGAGTGACAGAGCGAAGGAAGAAAGTAGGTGTAAGAGGTCAGATGACTTCTCTGTCTGGATGTTGAAGTCACCCAGGAGGATGAGCGGAGGGACATTTTCAGGGAAATTAGACAGGAGAATGTCCAGCGGACGGTAAAGGACAACAATGGTTAATTGCACCGGGTGAGTGACTGTTACAGCATGGAATTAAAGACAGTGGGCTCGATGGTGGAAGAGGGTAAAGAGAAAAGCTCCATTTGGGTGAAATGAGTAGACCTGTGCCACCACCCCTACCAGTGGGCCTGGGAGTGTGGCTGAAGGAGAAGGCGGAGGAGAGAGCGGCTGGGGTGGATGTGTTCTCAGGTGTGATCCAGGTCTCGGTGAGAGCGAGGAAGTCAAGCGACTGCTGGATAGCGAAGCCGGAGATGAAGTCTGCGAGTAGCTGACTGGCAGTTCCAGAGGCCTCCTGTGATGAGGTGCTGGACATGAGTGGAGCGGGTGGGATCGGTGAGAGACAGACCCTTGGCTGGGTCATAAGTAGCATCCTATACCTCTGCCTTCACTGAGGCCCACAGGGCCCCCCTCACCTGAGCCAGCCGGGCCCACCACACAGCCGCAGCCCTGTACAGCACCGCGTGAGGACGGAGGATGAGATCATTGAGCACACAGATCTCATCCCACAGGGTCGGGTTAGGTGACCCGTCTAGCTGCCTGCCCATCTCCTCCAGGATTCCCCTGCGGACATCAGAGCAATCGCGGTGAGCCGCTCGGTCTTATTAGGCAGAGCCATGTTTGAGGAAGCTGATAGAGAGCGCCGGCTTGGGTGGAGGTGGTAAGCCACTGATGGCTCCACCTCTGGTGGTCCCGCCAGACCCAGCTCTCCCATCCCTTTGACTTCGAGCTTCGAGTAGCCCTTGGTGGGGAGCTTACTCCTAAATGGGCTGAACCAGTACCTGCCCATTTCATTCATGCAGAAGTTGCTTTGACGGGCTGCCGGCCATTGTATTCCCTATTTAGACGCGGCCCGTTTGCAGACCTCATATAAATTGCTGTTCACTGGGGGGACAACATCAGATGCACGAGGGCCCAGGTGTCAAACTCAAGGCCGAATCCGGCCCCCCAGGGGGTCCGGATGGTCTTGGCTCGACCGTAGGCTCGCCGGAACGTGTTAGCCAGAGATAATAAATTCATACAGTCACAGACGACACCGGTACCCAAATACCAGGCAGTCAGGAGAACAGTTGCTGTAAGTAATATACTTCTTATGAAGTACATATCCAGCAGATCCAGACTAGAACCAGGAGCTGCGTTCGGCAACGCGTCCTTAATGGCTCGTCTGTGAACTGTTAAGCAGCGAATCCAAACCAGCCAAGATAAGCTGAGGGAGCTATAGTTTCTTCACGGGCAGAAAGCGAGAACGATTGGCGAGGGGCTGTGGTAACATGAGGCACGGCACAGTTGGACCTGTCTGTTATTCCACGTGCACCGACTTCTTTTCTAGCTGTACCTTGATCCTGTTGAACTGTTGTTCCATGGCCCTCAGGCCGCGCTTGGCCTCCTCATCGTGGCCCTCCAGCTCAGCCTCCAGATGCTGGATCCTGCGCTCCAGCAGGGCAGTGACCCTGCTGGGTGGTGGGGGCGTCTTAGCAGCTACATCCTCCTGACAGCCAGCCGCGGCTGCAGCGTACATCAGAGCAGGCAGGGAGTTTGGGTTTCTGCGTCTCAGTATCTGCTCCAGCTCCTTGACCTGGTGAAGAGAGGAAGACTCTTAAGAAATGAACCGCAGAGCAAAGGCAGAGAATGTATCACGTGTCATGCGTTAGCTTGTTTGTCTGTGTGAGAGACCTGTTGCTGGAGATCCTGCATCCTCTTAGTGTCCACCGTTTTCCTCTTTGGTCTTCCTCTGCTGCTCACTGCCTCTTTTGTCCACATCCACTTTCAGCCTCTCTACCTGAAATGGACACGAGCTTTCAATCCAACACGGCAAGCTGCAGTAAAAGAAAATAGCTGTCAACAAAAAGATGAACGTCATGGTTTTGCTTCCTGCCCTGTGGTTGGATCGTCTTTCATTTCATGGATGACGCGTGTTCAAGAAAGAAAAGGCTCCCTTGCACCTCATGAAAACTACCATGGCTGAATGGATGAAATGCATATTTCTAAATGGCAATACATTCACTCTTTAATTCAATTGGTTTTATTTGAATTGTACTATTGTGTCCTACAGACCCAAAGTAATTTTATACACCACATCCCAAAATACAAAGCACCACCCTTGGGTCAAGACACCCGATGGAGAGGGATTTAGGCAAAAACAATCAGTGTGGCTGTATTTCTGTGAGTGAAACATGGTGTATTGTTGTCAGTTTTATTAATACAGCTGCACTAAGACCGACTACTTTACAAACACAAACTGGGTGTTTAGTTGTTTAGATCCAAAATGTATACGATTGTTATATCCGTTACCATCTGTATGCAGGTGTAACGGGTGTTTGACTCCACTTGCCATCGCTAATGGCGCGTTTCCACCGAGCGGTACGGGTCGGGTCTGTTAACCATGATTTGGCAAGCGTTTCCACCTCCAACAGTACCCTTACTTGATAGGCGTGGTGTATTCCAGAAAGTAGTGATGACGTCACTTGATGGGCGTGGTATATGATGGCTGTTTGTCACAAGGAGACGACACTCTTTGTTTGAGCAAAGGCTACATGCTGCAAGGAAAAACACACTTGCGGCATGCGCAAATGACGACACTCTTTCAACCAATCAATGCTCTGCAGTGAGTCTAGCTCCGCCCTTTAGTACCAAACAACTGTGCCAGGTACCCCAACGGAAGGGTACCCACAAAGTGGTACGCATCGGATTGTTGGTACCATTCTCAACCTTTGGCAGTGGAGACACAAATAAAAGGGTACCGACCCGACCCGTAAGAGTCATGATAGGGTGTCACGTGGGTGCCCTCTAGTGGGTCCCTGCGGACGTGGGTGCGACACCCTGTAGCTAAAAGGTTAGTCTGCTGCAGGGTGTGCAACCTTTATGATGCCACGAGATATTCTATGAAGACGCTAACCTCTGTATGTTCGCCAGGGTCTCTTAACGTCACCTTAACGTTCGATTGGAGCCGAATGTGGCCCATTTCCTGGTGGTGATTTAAAAACACAACGCAAGACAGTACAACCGCTATACAGGAGTGTGGTGAAAGAAATGCAAAGTATGCCACAAAACAGCAAAGAGCCAAACTTTCTGAGCATAATAGAACATTGACGATAAAACCCAAAACAGTCTTCTGCACCTTTTTTAAGCTGTTATATTGTTATTATGGTTGTAACGATACCAAGATGATGACTTCCATACTGTACCTGATACTTACTATACAATACCACAAATAGGATACTGGAATATTTATTTATGATAGTAATAAATACAACATCTGTACGGTTCTCTTTTTAACCTCTGTTAATCAGTTTGACTGTCTGTGGGATAAACAATGCTTCATTTACTTGATATTCTCACATTCATATTTTATCTTAATTCATGGAATAATTATTTTTCCTTAACTAAAAATAAAAAGAGTTAGGTGAAAGTCCACCCTCAGGCTCCAGGAGCATCCAGTGTGTATTATTTGGTAGCAGTTAGTGTGCATTCGGACCTGCTGCACTGCTCAGTAACTTATTTGCGGCCTTGCTTTGTCTTGTTGCACTTGATGTTTGACTGTTAGGAAGTTGTTAGGCGCGCACGCTTTCCCCGTGTGACGCGCATGTTTTCACGCCATCCAACTTCTTACGCTAAAACGAGTCTGCGCTGGTTCGCCGACGGTAAACGGCGCCTCTGTAACGCTGTTCGCTGCACGTAGCGTAACTTACATCCGACAGCTCTGTAGTTCACAATAACTTTACAAACAAGTCGATGCGAGAGCACTAAATACTAGCATCAATGTCCGAGCGCGCTATAACAAGCTCGCTAACATCGCTAACGAGATGCCTTGCTAGCGGCTAAACCTGTTGAAATGCGCTTACTTTATTTATAACAAACTAGCAAGTCAGCAAGGCAACCCAAACACCTCCTCTTTTATCCGGACATTTCCTCTTTTCGAGACCTAAACGATGCGTCCGGGTAAAAGAGGACGTGTGGTCACCCGAGCTAAACCAGGCTAAGCTACTCGTGTTGGGCGTTCGTGTTTATTATCACATTTGCTAACCTTCGTTCTTTGAACTCTCTGAAAGGTGCTCAGCCATATGTCCCTCCCTTTGCCTGGTGGACTGAAGCAGGTTTTATGGACTAGTCTGTGTGTATATGTACATGTTACATGTATGTATTTATGTGCAGTCTCCTACATGTACATGTTACATGTATGTATTTATGTGCAGTCTGCTACATGTACATGTATGTATTTATGTGCAGTCTCCTAAATGTACATGTTACATGTATGCATTTATGTGCAGTCTGCTACATGTACATGTATGTATTTATCTGCAGTCTGCTACATGTATGTATTTATCTGCAGTCTGCTACATGTACATGTATGTATTTATGTGCAGTCTCCTACATGTACATGTTACATGTATGTATTTATGTGCAGTCTCCTAAATGTACATGTTACATGTATGCATTTATGTGCAGTCTCCTACATGTATGTATTTATGTGCAGTCTGCTACATGTACATGTTACATGTATGTATTTATGTGCAGTCTGCTACATGAGGGCACGTCTCCCCTGGTAACTCGCAGTTAGTACCGGTACTACAAATATTCTAAATAGTATTGTTTTCAACGTAAGGGTACTGCGGTACCTTTTCTAGTACCGGTACACCGTGCAACATTAATTGTTATTACTCTTACAGACGTCCAAGATGTTGAGGAACAGCTTTGTGGGTGTTTTAACCCCACACTGCTTACCAACTGATGGTAAGCAGGTTCTGTTAACACAGATCATTGTGTGACAGATGAAGTACATAAATGTGTTACAGCAAGGATGTATTTCTCTTTTATAGTCTTCAGAATACTCTGAAGCATCATTCATCGATGCCGATACCGAGGGCCGAGGCGACCCTGCCATAGGATAAAACCAAGGGTGACTTTCTAATGCATTTCAGCTGCAGAACTAAAACCCCCAGCAAGGAATCGGTCCACACACCTGAGATCTGCTTAAGCCGGAGACACCACAAGGGTCCCCGGCTGCGGACTGCGAGTTCCCCCTCTCAAACTTTCTTTCCGAACGGACTCTGGTCAGTGTAAGAATAAGACAACACAGTCTTCTTCAAATCCTCACCAAGAAACCCAACAGTCCTCATGATGCCGGCTAAAAGGACGGAGCGGGCACCGAGATAAAGGAGAATCAATGAAACACAGCAAACCCCATCGACGCACAGTAGGGCTGTGACTGGGCAGAAGTTAGATTAGCATGTGTCGGTATTTTGTTTGGGGATTTACTGTATTATTTAACGAGAGATTGTGTATGTGTTCATGAACTCTGACTGGGTGATAAAGTTAACCGCTATTGTGCCTCAATAAGATCTGCTTCTTTGATTTCTAATTTACACACACACACACACACACACACACACACACACACACACACACACACACACACACACACACAGATTTAACTATGTGAGGAACACACATGGTGCACAACACAGCCTGCTAGCAACACCTCAGCCATGTGGTCGGTAGCTTAGCGTCCAGCTAGCTGCCTCCTCATCTCTCACACATTTTGTGAACTATCTTATTGACACATTGCGTGGTGCCCAACACCCTCCACCATCAAGGTATTCTCTCCCATTCTCACAGCGATTGAAAGGCGTAACCGTCTTGCCAAGGAAGGATGGAGACGCGGCGCGCTCACCTGCTCCTGCAGTTGGTGTATCTCAGACGTAGCAGCCGTCAGTCTGCCAGCATCTCTGTCCAGCAGCTCCTGGTTCTCAGCAAACCACTGCAGCTTCTTCCTCAAGGCCACCACTTCTTCTCTGTGCTTCTCCTCCAACACGCGCATCTCAACTGACAGGTTCAGAGTACGGATACACGTCGTCAGCGTCCCGACAAGATTGCTGACGCATATTCAGTATAAAGTTAGTACGAAACCCGGTCTTTGGATTTACATTCTAGCGCTGGGGCCGTTGTGGATCCAGTCTTACCTGAGGCTGACACGGCCTGAGCTCTAGCTAGGTCCCTCTCTTTCTTCACCAGCTGCAGGTCCACCTCCTGGGCCTGCTTTTCTTGCTTCACTCTGTGGAAGTCCTCAGACAGCTTGGCCTCGTTCCTCTGAACACAGAAACACATCTCCTCGGTGACTGGACAAAGTTGATGTCTTTTCCCTTCTGTCTGTGGAGAAGGGAAAGACCTTGGTGGGCCATCGTCCCTCATTGTCAATGAGGATTTACCTGTAATGCATTTAGCTGGGCTAACAAGTCTGCAATGCGTTGCGTGTGATCCACTAAGCACACACTTCCCACAGTCCTGGAGGGTTTATTCAGCTGCTCCCTGGTGAAGGTAGAAAACGCAAAACTTTGAACTATAGCGAGGAAAATCAAAGTTGAGCTTTTTTAACAGTGAAAGTTCCCACTAATCAGAGCCTTTGTGGTAGACTGAACCCACCTTGTGGAAGCCAGCTCATTGAGCAGCCTCTGGGTTTCACTACACATGGCCTCCTCGTTTGCTTTACTCTCGGCCTGCTGAGCCTTCATCTGCAAATACAGCTTCTCATTCTCCTGGAAAACAAACCTCCCTTTACTGCACTTCAATAAAACCAGTCTTGTACCACCTCATTGATCCATTTAGCACCGTTTCAGAAGAAGAATTTGTTGTTTGTTGATAACATTATATGCACCCTAATAAAGCCAGTACACTTCTGTGAAGCCAACTTTCTGACACACAATCACCACAGAGTGGAACTACACTATCCCAGGTTAAGAGACAAACCTGCTGGTAACCTTTGATGAGCGTCTCCTGCTCCTTTATTTCCTTATCGATCTGCTGGAGCTTTTCTTCTGGAGCCAAGTCAGTGGCCTCAATCCTCCATCTCGTCTTCCGACTGGCTTCTTCTGCACTTTGCAGCTGAGAGAGAAACACAGCAGAGCTACTATTGGTGTTCTACACACTCGGTTGGTTTGTCTGCTGCCAGCAATGGGACTCCGTGTTGAAAGGGAAGAGCAGAGAGCGGTTGAGCACCTTGATTTGCAGAAGGTAGTTCTGCTGTCTGAGAGTGTTGATTTCTCCGGCGCCTTCCTTCATCAGCTGCAGCTCCCTCTCTTTGTGAGCCAGCTGGCCTCTGAGCTCCTGCACCAGAGAGCCGTCCTCCTCCCTCTGCAAGTCACACATCACGTGCATCACGAGGTGTGGAGAATCAATCAGAGTAGAATAGCAGAATATAGTTTGGCTGTAGCAGAGAAATATGGGGGTCTGGGAGCCGACCCATCCAGAAGGATTAACTAACATCACCTCCTCAGTGGCACCAGCAAACACGGACATCTGGGGTTTCTTTAAACAGCCTCTTAAAAACAATCCAGTTTTTAAGAGGCTGGATTCTTCTTAGCTTAGCATAGTGATATGCTAACAACTGAAACAGCACGATAACATGAACGCGATCAAAGTATCTCTGTGCTGCAATACACAAACAACCTTCACAGACATAGAAAGCCTCTTCTCTTTTATGGCTCATGGTTGGATTATGCATTTGTGTAGCTGAATGGTGGAACTAATGTCTTGGATTACATTCATAGTCCTGTGGATCATCAAAGGTATGGAAGTAAATATGTGTCATCGAATAAGAAAAAGGTGACGCTCCCGATCTTAAATCTAGAATCGATGGCTCTTCTTTGGCTTCCCGGATGTTGCGGTTGAATTTTTTTGCATTCAATTTTTTGCAGTTGAATTTTTTGTAGTTGAATATTTAACGTTGAAAAACATTCAGATACATGATTTCAGTGCATAAATATTCAGTGCTAGAAATTCAATCACCTTTTTCTTTCAAAATCCGATGACACAGATTTACTTCCATAAAAGGGGACATAAACTGCTACATACCACTGACCTACAGCTGGATTCAAGGACAGTTTATCAACATGCCACACAGGTCAAATGTTAGAAAAGAACAAGAAAACAAAAACGCATTCAAGCCGCATCATCAACAGGAGAATGGGTGTGTTCCTACGTCCTGCGCCGCTCTGGGGACGTCCTGCTGACTGCTGCGGTCTATCTGCTGTCGGAGGACAGACACCAAGGACTGAACAGACGCCACCAGCTCCCCGCTGACCTTCAGACCCGCCTCTGCTCGTCAAACAAACACACAACTCCAACATGACACACACTCCACGCCATGCTCCTGCTTCTGATTCAAGAAGTAAAACTAAATCAATCCAGTGTGACCAGGACGTTTGAACGTAGCCCTCGGAGTAACACACACCACCCAATCCTGATTTATGGGAGTTACATTTAGTGTGTGAGTGCCATTGATAACCTGTGTGGTGCTCTTTTTCTTGGCTCTTTGTGGATTTGGCTTTTTCTCGTGGGTGTTGCAGAGGACGGGAGGCAGAAGGCGGAGTTCTGGCTGACGCAGCAGCTCCACCCGGCCCTGAGGACCTGGAGGTCCCTGCTGTTCTCCCCTGCAGCCTGCTGCCTCTCCCGGGGGCAGCGGGATTCCGCATTGGGGGCGTAGAGGGATGAGAAGCTCTGGATCCAGGCGCAGCCTGCGGGACACAAGGCCCACTGCCTTTCAGTAACAACACACTGCTGGAGTTTACAGACAGCTCCAAGTCTCACCGGCTCGTTCTTTTCTTTTGCGGCCTGAGCGGACAGCAGCTCCTCTACTTCCTGTCTGACGCTCCAGGTCAGGCTGGGCGGGTCTGGGGGGCTGGATAGCCCCCGGGCTGCCTGTGTTCCTGCTACGCGGCCAGCCTCGGCCGCTGGCTTTGGTCGGGACTCTTGAGACGTCAAATCTGGGAAACCTCTTTCCAAGAAGTGTGGTTGGTCCTCAAGTCCTCCAGCACTGCAATCAGAAGGAAATGCGCAGACAAGTGTGGCCTTTAAGTCAGATTATTTGAAGGTATTATTATTGCTCTAGGCTCATGGTTATAATGGATTATTGTTATCTCATATGTATTATTGGGTATTTTGGTAAGCAATCAACCAAAATAATCCCATACAAATTAGCATTGAAACGTCGTCAGTCAAATGATAACCGCACTCTATCCTTTTCATGTCCAGATCTATAAAAACAGGACAAATTGTTAGAGTCGAACAGAGTGAGTCCCAATACTCCCAGCATGCATCTGTGTATTGAGCATATTTCTTGCGTAGCATGGTCTCGTGCTTGTTAGACAAACACTTCCAATAAGTCCAGAGTGCTGTTTAAGTTGAATTCATCCATTTGTGTTTGTATTTTTAGTTTCTGCATCCATGTCAAACACAACGGACGAGTCACGTAATTAAAGCAAGCAATGAAGAATCACTCATATTCAAATTTCATTTTTGAGGATCCTTTTTTAAGAGTCTTAAATGGCCTCACTGTAAAATGACGTTAGCTTAGCTGACAACCCTGGCATGCAGATGTTAGCTGGAGGCTCTACCATCAGTGCCTGTTTTATTACAGGTGCATAACATGGTTTGTGGCGCAGCGCTCACCTGATAACCTCCTTCTCTGGCCGAATAACTCTCATCAACTCTTCTGCAGTGGGAAGATCTAGATACAAAGAGATATTCAGCACACTGTGGTCCTTTCTAAGCACTGGATGTCCTCATCTCATACACTGGGGGGGGTCAGCCCTTCAAAGGCAGGACTGTTCTGTTGTGGATCACTGGACCCGACCAAAGAGAAGTAAAGCAGCAGGAGTTGGTGGACGGGACCAGCTGTGAACGCTGTCTGCAGCCAGGATAGTTGTGACTGTCGTTATGAGCACGGGGCTGGGTGCTCTGGGAGAGGCCTTTGGGGGCACTTTCTTGCTAGATTTAGCTACTTTTGGAGCGAGCGCTGCCAGCTGCTTCTGTTAGAGAAGAGTTGGCATCCAGGATCTGGTCTGTAGGTTGGATGACTTTTTTAATCCAGCGTATTGTTGCCTGCAGCTTTGTGGACGCGTCGTTCCTCCAGTCACACCAGAAGCCGTCCAGCATTCCCCCACATACCGTTTAATGGTCACGCTTAAAACCAGCACATTTTTACGTCTCACAATGTCTTTCCACCCTTTTCACAAAGTGAAGAAGTTCAAAGATAGAAATGCGGAATATGTACAGTATGTGAAAACTGATGATTAGTTCTTGTCGGAGTGAAACAATATTTGATGTTGGTTTTGTGCTCCTCCCCATCTTCCAGGTGTCAGGGTGGTCAGTCTGAGGGTCTGACCTGAGTCGTTGGTTGACGCGGGCTGAACGGAGTGTTCAGCCCTTCCCATCCCTTCCATAGATGGGTGCTGGTGATCGGAAGGCTCCACCACGTGGATCTGTCTGTAGGCCTCATGAAGAGCCTCCATGTCGGAAGCGCCGCTCTGCACATACGACGGGCCTGAACACAAAACTCATTGAGACAACACAAGAAACTGCCACCAATGGAAGAATATATAGGCAACACATGGTACATTAAAATGAATGTGTGGGGAAACAGCAACCAATTGGGAGGTCACGGGATGGATGATTTATTGTGAGAAAATAGATTTTTCTACATCAAGATGTTAGTTATGCTTTTCTATGGAATATTTACCAGTTAATATTAAATGAATATAGTAAAAGTAATTATTTTACCCGCTTGAGGTAACTTGTGACATTGATGTATTACTTTGTTGTAAGTTGGAACAGCCAATAGGTGTTGAGTAAACAAAACGCTACAGGGGTTATGTACCAATAAATGAAGGAATGTAGTCACTACTAATTATTGGTTGCTCTAGATATAGAACATTCTAGAATGAGGGTGCTACATCTTCAAAAAGATAAGACTGACATGAAGGGTTCAGTGGGTACCAATCCTGATAATGTATAGAGCCATATACATGAATACGCTTCCTATGTACCTCTGTCCAGGGAGCCTGCTGGGTCCTTTCCTCCGTGTCCCCCCCCGGTGTCGTCCAGGGAGTCATGGAGAGACACTGAGACAAAGTGAGTCGCATATTGTTCTTCATGGGAGGCCACAGCAGTACAGCGCTAATGCTAATACATTAGCATTGAGTAGTAACTTCACGTCAAACCAATGGGCACATTGAATGAGAGCTGCTATTCTGTAATCGTTGGTCACATTATGAGAAACACACATTCAGCATTAACATTGTCTCCATGCGGGTGAAACACTCTTACCTTTGGCAAGGATTGGAGAGATTTTAGACTTCTGAAAACAAGACAGATCATAGGATGAATGAGGTCACTGTGATATTTCAGTAGAAAGAGCTTCGTGGCATTTTGTATCTGTATTGACCACTCAGCACATGTCCAGGTAAACGGTTTTGAGCCCGACTCGGTTGAACTGATAGTTTATTATGATTTTTTAAATGTAATGTGTGGCTTTGCGGTCATTGTTGTTGTGCAAAGGACACAATGGTATCAGTCACTCGAAACACTGTTGGCTTCCTGTGAAATGTTGTTAACAAGAGAACAGACAAGATCACACAAAACGTTTTTATGTGTGGGTTTTCATTTCCTGGCCACGAGATTGAAGCTCTCAGGTCACATGATGGCAATTGAGCCAATCATTGTGTAGCCATGTAGTTGAAAGCTTTAAAAAGAGGAGTGAGTGGACTTTGAGGTCAAATAGTTTTAAATAGAGTCCGAACCAAAGAACACAAACCTGCTCCAGCAGCTCTTCTCCGTGGTCGTCTTCCTCAAAGTCCTCACTGTACTGTGGAGATCCTGCAGAAGCTGAGATGTGAGCGACACAGATTACAGCAGAGATGAAGGGACTCAAAGAGAGAGTCCTACCTGGGACTCCAGCCTTCCTTTCGTCATCACTCTGCTTCACCACTTCCTCGACGACCCTGGAGGACGATATTCGTCCCCGTTACGCTGTGTTCACCACAGTGGTCTCCAAGGGCAGAGACACTGTGTCCCAGACCCCATAAGAACAATGTCGATTCCACTGCTCAACGTTCACCACTGGCCCATCTGTCCAGGGCTTACGAGTGAGAGGGTAGACATCTGTTCACCGAGGTAAACGCATGGACAAACGGGGACTGGAATGGGACAGACTGGCAGGTGTCACCACGGATGGATGTCAGAATTTGACAGGGAAAAATGTTTTGTTTTTTGCACAGTTCTGAAAACATTAAATGTTTAATACAGGCATGTAAAGTCAAAAAGGCTACAAACCTGGGACACTTTTCTTTACACAGTTACACAGTTCAGTGACTTTATTTTGGCTACAAAGATGATGTGATGTCTTTAGAAAGATAAGAAAATCCTTGTTTCAATAGTATATAAAACTCAAAATGCCCTTTGTTATTAATGGGGCTGAAAAGGTGTCAAATGTTTCACATTTTGTTTATCATGAGGGAAATTCTATTTGAACAAATGATATTTTTGAAAGCGAACCTCACCTTTTAATTGCCAAATAATGACATACACTCTTACCAGTGGTCAAAACAAGGCCATTTACTGCTTTTTATATAGAAATAAAATGAATACTATGCATAACTGAGTTCGGCATTTTGGCCCGGCCCTCCATAATATTTTCAGTTGCTCATTTGGCCCCTAGGAAAAATAATTGCCATCCCCTGCTTTAGACCCTTTTACCAGGACTAACCCCCTCCCGGTACGCCAGGACTAACCCCTCCCGGTACGCCAGGACTAACCCCTCCCGGTACGCCAGGACTAACCCCTCCCGGTACGCCAGGACTAACCCCTCCCGGTACGCCAGGGCTAACCCCTCCCGGTACGCCAGGGCTAACCCCTCCCGGTATGCCAGGACTAACCCCTCCTGGTACGCCAGGGCTAACCCCTCCCGGTATGCCAGGACTAACCCCTCCTGGTATGCCAGGGCTAACCCCTCCTGGTATGCCAGGGCTAACCCCTCCTGGTACGCCAGGACTAACCCCTCATGGTACGCCAGGACTAACCCCTCCTGGTACGCCAGGACTAACCCCTCCTGGTACGCCAGGACTAACCCCTCCTGGTACGCCAGGACTAACCCCTCCTGGTACGCCAGGGCTAACCCCTCCTGGTACGCCAGGACTAACCCCTCCTGGTACGCCAGGACTAACCCCTCCTGGTATGCCAGGGCTAACCCCTCCTGGTATGCCAGGACTAACTGCTGCACTGCCTAAGGGGAAACATTCAGTGAACTTTTTGGAAGATGCCTGTAACACTACAGTTACACATGGGGGCAGTGCGATGGTCTTTATCTGTGTATCAAAAGGAAGCCCAGTAACTACACAACTGGAGAACGGCACCTTGAAGAAGAGCAGCAGGTCGAGTCCGGCTTCCGTTACCTGAGGTTAGCAGCCGTGGTAGAACACGTCGAGTCCAGCTCTCGGTTCAGAATGGAGTAATCGAGATTTGGGGAGGCGCCTGCCTCTAGTTGGGCAAAGAATCGGGCTTTTTCCTCTTCTTCCTCTATGGTGTCCAAGCCGATAGCGGTGGTGTTAGCGGCTGGTCCCATCATGGAGTCTGCACACACACAAAAACAGAGCTCAAGTGTGATGCTTCCAAACTGAAATGTCTCAGTTGTGACTTTGAAAGTATAGTTTATTCATCCTCGAGTCCCGAAGGATGTTTGGGTGCTTTTAAATGACCTAAGATGATGCAACAGGCCACAGCCATGATGGTCCACAGGTCTTACCCTGCTCCCCCTCTCCGCTGGGATCAGCTCCTATCAGCCCCTCGTCTCCTGGGTCCTCGTCCCCCAGTCGATCAGACTTCCCTAGCAGTCCTTGACAAAAGTACCACAGAGAAGCACGAGTGAGCCGTGATTACAGATTGTGACCAATAGCTGTAAGAAGATACTGGGTCTACTGTAATCCAACACTGAGGACTGAGTAGCGGCTGAGCCTGGATGGACAGACGTCCATATGAGACACACACTGTGAATGGAGACACTTCTCCTCCCGCTTCAGCCTTTTTTAGTTGCCTTTAATAAACCACGTGCTGTCACAACTTCATGTGCAATCATTTATGTCAAGATGGATGGAGGACACAGACTGTGTACTACTAATACTACTACTACTCGTGGCCCCGTACTGCCATCCGCTGTCTGTCCACCCTGTTCCGTTCTCACAATAATCAAAAACAATCCATTTCTAGTATTAAATGAGACATCTTTAAGTTGAAAGGAACTTCAACAGAATCACCAGTTTCTGCCTATTGTAATAATAGTAATAGATACATCTAATGTATTGGTACGATTTATGTGAAAGGCAAACAATAATAGAGTCAAAGACAAGAAGTCACAGAACTAGTGGTACTAGTGACTGCTGGGGGACTAGTACGACACTACCAGAGGGTGGGAGGACGTGGCTTGAAGTTACCATGGTGACCGTGTCCCTGGGAATGACTATCAGAGGTGTCTGGAGGACTCTCATCAGGGCTCCTCTCCCCGAGTTCACTGCTCACCCTGTCAGAGCCATCGGATGGAGCTCTGGGTCCCACTGCGCCTTTGGAGCTGGTGTCCAGTACAAGCGCTTTATCCAAAGCTTTGCAGCGCGGTTTGGGGACCGGCCTTTTGAAGGCTTCAGGGACAAACAGAGTAAATCATGTTGCTTAACTAGCCAAGGAACTTAGCCACAACTAGCCCACTCAAATCTCCATCCAACTGTCCGCAGCTGGCGTGCATTGTGGGTAATGTAGGGGATGCACAGCCTGGCTTATGTCCCGAGAGTCTGACTCTTTGGGGAATGGAGCCACCAACTGGTGTTCATGGAGAAGACAGAACTTTGACAAAGCGACGGTGTGAACCTTTCACTGTGAAAAATGCTTGAGAAGAGCTGTGCTTTGTGCAAATAGAACTCAGTGTAGCTAAAGAGCGCATGAACAAGGAAATACATCTCAAAGATCTCCACAGTGATGCCCTCACCATTGCTGTTCTCATGTTGAGACCTCTTGGCTTTGAGAAATTTGCTTTTTGCCCTCTCTGCTCGGGAAAGAGAGGAGACAAAGGCACATATTGTCAAATGGGATAGAAAGAACAGAAAATACAAGGCTGTGAAATCGACACAGGCACATTTTTGCCATTATTTGATGTCATATATAAACAGTGAGTGTTGTTGACTCGTACTAAAACATCATGGCTTTGCTGAAAATACTAACAGACAAGACAACAACAAAGAAAGGACACTCTAAATGGTCTCTTGTGGGTTTTGTAAGGTGAACGGTAATCAAGTTTAACCCGACCCAATCGGAGTGGAGTTGACAGGTCGGGTTCATTTGCTCTCCCAGTCAAAGCAGCGCTGATGGGAAAACGATTGGCTGGGAGGAGTGTCCTAAAGAGCAAAGGCACCATCTGCATGCAACATGCCCATTTCATCTTTTCCTCCTCACCCAGACCAGTTGGATGAAGACCAGGGGCCTCATTTAGAAACGTTGCGTCTGCACAAAAGAAGGCGTACGCCGCTCTCTACGCAATAATTGGGATTTATAAAAAGCAAACGTGACGGAGAAATGTGCGGTCCTTCACGGAAGCTCGGACCCATGCGTACGCACAAAAACAGGTGAAATGAGAACCGTCGGCAAATGCAAGAAACACGCAAACGTGTGTGAAAGTGTAAAACTAGACTGTTGTAAAAGAAATGCCAATACTGCCTCATAAATAACACGAACAGCCGTTTGATCGATCTGCAGCGTAGAACAAACAAATACTAATTAACACATTTTCAAAAAGAAAAGTGAAATATGTTCTGCAAGAATATCGGCATGTTATTAAATTCATCCTCAAAACACAGCTGTTGCTTGTCAGATGCGATCAGATGGACGGTAATAAAACGCCATGATGCCGTCACAATGCGTAATGACGCTGATGGCTGATCTTCGCTCTTAGGAGACGTGGCACATGGAAGGATTGGCGCTGTAGTGCAGCGCACCGTCGGCCTGTTTAAGGGCGGATGGCGCTGCCTCGACTGCACTGGAGGAGGTTATTGTTTACTCCTGAAAAGGTGTGAAACATCGTGCTGCATGTGCTGTGCTACATGATGTGGCACAGCTTCCAAACGTGCCTCGACCCCCTGACGTCGATGTTGGCCCCGACCCTGTCCCCGATCCCCAATCATTGCCGCCAGTCTCTCATCAAGAGGGGACAGCTCCGGTGTCCCCTTTCCCCCCCGGGGCAGACACACCTTGGCGATGCCGCGCTAAACGCTTTTTTGCATCCACTTTGATGTCAGACCTTGTTGGCATCAGTGATCCACACTGTGTCCTCCAAATAGCATCTTACTCCTCCTTCCCACCTCCCAATGATCATTTCCACTTCACACTGAGTGAAGTTACGTTTCTTCATTTTCCTCTCAGTGTTTGTCATCATTTCGCAATCGATGAATATTAATTTGTGGGCGTTCCACAGACTATATATGGGCAACTGTGGGCGCGACATGAAGCCGCAAAAGCTGCGCTGCATTTAGAAGTGATTGTGATTTATTAAGGGAAAACTGCGTAGGACGTTTTATAAGTCTGAATATTTCTGTGCGTACGCACGTCCTACGTTTCATCCGTACGACACTTCTGGTGCAAATCCTACGCAAGCTTTTATAAATGAGGCCCCTGGAGAATCGACTAGTCAAATGACCATTTGCATTGTGCATTTTACTGGTCAGTTCAGGGACCCGAGTCCTGAAGCAGGAGAAAGAAAGTGTTGGATTGGGTGTTGAGGAGAGATGCTTCACAAGTGGAAAGTTAGACAGAAAGAGGAATTCCAACTTGATGAGTAGGATGGTCCAAAAATACACTTTGGTTTCTATTGGGAACCTCAATCTGAGCCGGGGAGCCCTTTTTGTTTGACCAATACTCCAAAACCCAAATATCAATATCATATTGAATTATCAATATCGTATTGAATTAAATATCAATACGAAAAAAATGCAAATCCATTAATTCACCAAACAGCTTCTGTAATAAGTTATTCCCATCCTACGTGACTGCATATCCTAATAATAGTTACCATCTTTGGCACCGCTCCGTCCTGTAAATACAGAAGAACTTTGTATCCTCAGTTACATCCAACTCTTCTTCACAGTTGAACATACAAAGAGCTGGTGCAACAGCAGCGTTGTCATTTGGATTTGAAAAAGAGAAATGGGCCCCTTAATATGCATGTCCAATCGGTGTAGAAGGTAAAGTGAACGGTACGTGCTGTAGTGACTGAGATTGCATTGATCGAGGGCTCCCTTGTGATGAAGGGGGATGCTCAGAACCATCCTGGACCCTCTGGGTTGACAGCCCTAGTGCACAGAACACGAGTGAATAAGATGTTAGGGACCGGGATGCTTTGGCGGACGCGGATACTCCGTAGCCGCAGTGATTCCAGGCGAATCCAGGATGCAGTACAGAGCATGATGGCCAAAAATGTGTGCGCAATGCATTCTGGTACATTCTGGTACATGCAGGCACCACCGGCAGAGCTCCTCGAGCAGGAGGATTCAGCTTTCTGGGTCACCCATGGACATCCACAGAAAAGTGAGGAATCTTTCCAGTTTTATTCCTTCATAACATCAAACATTCCAGAAGCGACGGCACATGTGCTTCATCGGGGCTGTGAGTGATGTTTGATTGGGTCGGCTTAAAACAACCTGGGCTGATATTAGGCAGACGGTCCGGTCTGGACACAACAAACAAGCCACCAGATGTTCATTCCAGCGCGGCATCACACTGTTTAGATGGAAGAACCTTTCAAACATGTATTCACTTTAGCAGAAAATAGGGTCCATTTATCATAGTAACAGGTGTACAGGTACAGTCATCACAGCAAACCTCACCCTCTTTTCCCCCTGATGCTCCCCCGCTGTGCTGCTCATCCTGCCACCAGGGTTTGCTTTTAGGGCCGGGCTGCTTGTCCGAGTCATCTGAAACGGACTGACGGGAAATCAGGTTTAGGTTCAGCCTCTTTGTGCTTCTGCTTGATGAATTCAGAGCGATTAGGCGATGTGCGTTGTTGTGGACTGTGGGTGCCAATGCCTCCTGTTATCACCGCAGGAAGCAGTGGAACGGTATCTCCAGCGCACATCACAGGCTGTATGAAAGAGGACGGGGGAGTTAGATCATGAACACACTGGACTCAGCAGCTCCTGATACATTTAAAGTGTTTTAAAAACTTGCATTGTTTAATTATTCACTCTGACACTATATTTTATAAGTAAACTAGTGGAAAGCAGTGGATGATCTTCATACTTTGAGATCTTTGGTGGACCGTGCCGTCCAAGAGGCACCAGAGCAGATGAGATAATAGAGAGGAGTTGGAGTCAACAAAGGGATCCGTTCATGCAACTTCAAGACTCTTGTGGAATTATTTGTGAACAATGTGAGCACTCAGGTTGACAAATTGACCAGGGAGACACAGGAGCTGAGAAGCAGCCTGCAATTCTCTCAGAAAGACATGGATGATTGAACAAAGAAAATGAGAAAATTGATTGAGAACAATCCACTGCAGGGGAATATGACCGAGATGACGGAGAAAGCGGACTACTTGGAGGGTCAAACAAGAAGGAATAACCTTGTTGTGGATGAAAGCTGGAAGGAGACTGAGGACAGTCAGGTGTGTGATCGTCGTGGCGCAGGGGTTAGAGGTGTGCTGGGAAGCACAAGGTTGGTGGTTTGAGTCCAGGCTGCCCCATGTTCCATGTCGAAGTGTCCCTGAGCAAGACACCTAACCCCTAATTGCTCCCCGGGCAAAAATGTGAAAAAGCCATGGGTTTAAAGTGTAATGTCAGTCGCTTTGGATAAAAGCGTCTGCTAAAATGACCTGTAATGTAATGATCAATGAGAAACTGAACCCGGACAGCAGTCAGATGGTTATTTGTGAAGAGTCTTACTCTTACAAATAGAGCACAACGGGTTTATTACATCGGCAGCTGGTCTGACTCCAAGGTCTTGGATTGCGGAGTCCCGCAAGGGATCTGCCTTGGACCACTCTAATACGCCATCTTCACAAATGATCTTCCATCAGTATTGTGTAAAGCAACTGTACAAATGTATGCTGATGATTCCACGTTGTATTATGCTGCAAGAACTGTCAGTGAACTGGACAATGTTTTATCAGCTGATTTAAATGTGGTTTTTGATTGGATAAAACAAAATAAATTGGTACTGAACATCTCGAAAACCAAATCTTGGGATGGAGTCATGAGCTGTCATCTACACCAAAGATGAGTTTGCACTTGTCTGGGCAACCTATAGATAACCGGTAGATAAAGTCTAATTACTAGGTACAATCAGCCGTCATGGGAACAACATATTGACCCCATAGTGAAGATGGGTTGTAGGATCTCTATAGTGAGGAAATGTCTTTATGTCCCTTCACACATTGTGGAACAGGTGGCCAAACCTCTAATTCTATGTCGCTTAGATTATTGTGCACCTGTATGGTCATCTGAATCTAAAGGTCAAATAAAATAATTACAAACTGCCCCAAACAGAGCTGCCAGGTTAGTCTTACAATGTCCCATAAGAACGACGGCGATCAGTATGCACAGTAGAGAACAGGCTGCTTTTCACACGTCGTCTTTTCTTCTCAACCGGTTTTCTTATATAACTAATATATAATAATAATATACGTAAAATGAATAATAAAGTCTCTATCAAGTACTATCTGAGAGAGAATGCACTTAAAATTGTGAGTAGGGAATGGACATATTTACTGTATGAATGTAATACTATAATAACTTATTGTGAAATAGTTCTGATGATGTTTATAATGATACAATGTTTTACTGCTTTTAGTTTATTGTCGTTAAGTGATTTTTCTTTTTGTTGAACTGCAGGAAGATTAGCTCCTCCCACTTTGGTCACAGCGAATGGGGATCCTTTTAACAATAAACACTGTGAAAGGGTCAAAGTTCGAAGATGAAAGCACGGACAACGCCGGGGTGTTGACCTGTCAGTCAATCACAGTGAGTTATTAGATCTTCACCTCTTGTGACCAGAAAACAATGTGACAGTTGAAATTGTTGAGGAGGTCCTTCTCATACGAGTCCCTCGCTCTGGATTGATTCTGGGTGGGAGCACGGGGGATGCAGTTTGACCATCTCTGTATTTTGTCTGTGCATAGAATTGTGTCTCACTGCATCGTTGTGTCCCAGGTTCTACATTTACTGTCCCAGAGGGACATTCTCAACTGGAATATCTAGTCCAGTGTGTGGTGGTCTACCGCCGCCGCAGCGTCACCGACCTCCTTCAGGAACAGGTCAAACTCTTCGTCCAGCTCCTCCTTGGTCAGTCTGTGAGACATGTCCAGCCAAAAGGGACCCAGACCGCTGACAAAGACAAGGAGAAGGGACACGGCGTGTGTGACTCACATTATCAAACAGTAAAAGTCGACATAGGATTATCGTTCTTTTCATTGTGAGTACCAACAGTAAATGGAGGCGATGGGGGAGACCGAAAACAGGCCGTCACATATTCATTACAGGAGGAAAAGGCACAACACATGAACACCAGCAATACGGCTCCATTCAGATGGTTCTAATCCACGGTGCAACAGGGTTAAACACATTGAACTCTATGAATGCGAACGATACATCTACAAAGCGTTTATTTATACATTCGTTTACAACCGACACAACTGTAAATGGATAAAGTGATCAAATCAATATCTTATGATACAAGTCGCGTTAGTTCGTCCCCGTGATGCTCCACTAACGTCACAACTGGTGAACAAAATTCTACTTGCTTAAACACCTTGTACCAAATGTTAGGAAGCTACCACTTCCTGTCCGAACTGTCACACTAAAACCATTAAAAACAAACAGGAGATTTACCTAAGTTGAATTAAGAGTTAGCACTGGTAGCACAAATGCTAGCGCGTTTACGCAGGGCTCCATTATTGTGATAGTTTTAACTTACTTCCGGTGTTTTTCAGGACAGTTGGATTAGCATGTCATCCCCTTGTGTTAGCAAGTAGCCTGAGCCGGCTAACGGCTTTAGTCGCGTTCAGTCGCGTAACGTGAGCGAGGTTTGCAGCGGCAGACGCGACCAGCAGCAACCTTCTTCCAACTGAACACTCGAGCCCAGCGACACCCGCTTGTAGATTCGAGTCTCCGTCTGTTCCCGCAGGAGACCCCGGGCGCCATTCGCCGACCTGATTGGCTAGAAACCAGCGCGTCATCAGGAATAACACCCAATGGACAGACGGGGGTGGACCATAAGATGAGGACGCGTCTCAAAGTCGCTGGGCTGCATCCTTCGACAACCACACAGGCCGAACCGAACGGTCTGTCCTACTTCCTGCGGTGTCATCAGCGTTACCTCGGCTGCAACCTGCTGAGCCTGATAAGTTTAATAAAGTTTTTAATAAAGTTAAAAATATTTAGAAATTAAAAATAAAGTGTACCAGCGAACAGACAAGTGCAGTGTGAAAGAAAGTGACCGGTGGAATGTCAGAGTCAGTCCAGTTATTTTAAATTCAAATGAAATCAGTTAATGTATAATACATAATTTATTACTAATTTAAAATTACTCTCATCTAAAAGTACTGCAATCTTAAGTCAGAGGAAATTCCATTAATGTTGTCAACAAAAAACAAAACGGCAAACACATATTAACTTGACTTTTTCTTTCTTTCAAGGATACGAGCTATTTTAACTGTAAAATACTACAGAATATGTCTAAGCTACAGTAGCTGAATGTCACCACACATCGTTCTCTTCAGCTTGATGCCAAATGGGGAGTTAACATTATTATAACTAAAGGCTGCGCGTGTTCCTGCGTCTTCACGTCGCGTCGACGAAGTGTATTTTTGGACCGTCGACTCATGCGTCTGCGTGTCCTTGCGTCGCTCTGAAACGCAGAAGCAGAAACTGGGCTTAAGAGCAGTTTATTCTAGCGTCTTGTCCCTCCCCGACCCCCTCCTGGACCCCCTGCAGTTCGCCTACAGAGCCAACAGGTCTGTGGACGATGCTGTCAACATGGCCCTCCACTACATCCTCCAGCATCTGGACTCCCCAGGAACCTACGCCAGGATCCTGTTTGTGGACTTCAGCTCTGCTTTCAACACCATCATCCCGTCTCTGCTGCAGGACAAACTCTCCCAGCTGCACGTGCCCGACTCCACCTGCAAGTGGATCACTGACTTCCTGTCTGACAGGAAGCAGCACGTGAAGCTGGGGAAACATGTCTCAGCCTCTCGGACCATCAGCACCGGTTCCCCCCAAGGCTGCGTTCTTTCCCCTCTGCTCTTCTCCCTGTACACCAACAGCTGCACCTCCAGCCACCAGTCCGTCAAGCTCCTGAAGTTTGCAGATGACACCACCCTCATTGGACTGATCTCTGGTGGGGACGAGTCCGCCTACAGGTGGGAGTCTGACCATCTGGTGTCGTGGTGCAGTCAGAACAACCTGGAGCTTAACGCTCTAAAGACAGTGGAGATGGTTGTGGATTTCCGGAGGAACAGAGCCCCACCCTCCCCCATCACCCTGTGTGACTCCCCCGTCACTATTGTGGATTCCTTCCGTTTCCTGGGCTCCATCATCACCCAGGACCTCAAGTGGGAGCTGAACATCAGCTCCATCACCAAGAAGGCTCAGCAGAGGTTGTTCTTCCTGAGGCAGCTGAAGAAACTCAACCTGCCAAAGACGATGATGGTCCACTTCTACACGGCCATCATGGAGTCCATCCTCTGCTCCTCCATCTCCATCACCATCACCTCCATCATCATCACGCTCTGCAGAGAGGGTGATCGGCTGCAATCTGCCGTCCCTGCAGGACTTGTTCGCTTCCAGGTCTCTGAAGCAGCTAAAAAGATCGCGGCCGACCCCTCCCACCCCGGACATAAACTGTTTGTGCCCCTTCCATCTGGCAGGAGGCTGAGGTCCATCAGGACTAAGACCTCCCGCCACACGGGAAGAACAGTTTCTTCCCGTCGGCAGTCGGGCTCATCAACAGAGCCCGGTCCCCCACTGCCTGACTATAACACTCCACCGGTCACTCCCCCTCACACTGCACATGTCACTTTAACTGCAATTCATCACTTTGTCGTCACTTGTCACTTTGTCTCTTGTCTGTTACTTGTTCGTTAGTGCACTTTATGCTTAATATTTTTCTTTTTAATATTTAATTTTTTTTAACTTTATTCCCTTGTTTTATACTAACCCATAGCCTTAGCGTTATTCTACTAACCCATTGCATTAGCATTTCATTCTACTTTATTTTATTACTTGTGCACTGTTGTCTTGTCTGTCTACTGTCGCGCACTAACCGCCAAGACAAATTCCTTGTATGTTTGCCATATTTTGGTAAATAAATGTTTCCTGATTCCTGATTATGTGAATGTAAAAACATCACATACCAACATCACGTAACTTGAGTGATTTGATAAACTAAGTTGTGATTATATATCATAACACTTCTCTGTAGATATTCGAGTGAATTATATTACTTAACGATACATTTAACAGTGAACTCTGATCTCCCGCCTCCGTCCTGAATAAATTGAATCCTCGTTGGACCTCACTGCATGCTGGGATATGATCCCATGTGTCCTCCAAATGGGCCTCTGGAGGACTGCATGCCTCGACCGCGTTCTCCTCTGCCGCTCCCATTGCCAACATTTACCACCCATTTTGAATTGAACCCAAATCGGTTAAGTCACCAGAGGTGTCAAAAGTATTCCCATTCATTACTCAAGTAGAAGTTGAAGTATAGACTCAAGCTTTTTACTTAAGTAAAAGTATAAAAGTACTGGCTTCAAAACTACTTAAAGTATTAAAGTAAAAGTAATGTAAGAAATTCCATTAAGGACAAACTCTTAATGTGAAACCTCGCTAACACAACCCGTCAGTCCGTCACAATGTGATCAGAAGGCGCCTGCAGATCACGTGACCTGCCGTTGGGATGGTGGAAACAACAACAACAACAACAACAAATGGATCTAAGAGATAAAACCACAACCCATTCTCCAGTGACACGAGTCACACTCACGTTGTTCCTATTGATGAGGTAGACTGCAGCGTCTCCCCAGGTTCACTACGTCATGGGGGGGCGGGGTCTGACTTTTTATGGGGGGGGGCACCCTGCATAACTGCAAAGCAATAATGTGTGTTTGATACCTTTTTTTTTGCCTCCACCAGCCGCCGTTGGTCACTGGGGAGATCTCCTCCTTCTCCTTTGAACATCTGTCACCAACGTTTAGTTTAAACAAAATGTCATCACACCAGCTGACAAAAGATTGATCCTCGCGTTTACAGCCCAGGTCATTGCCTCGAGTAAGTCGACTCACCACAACAGTATCGCATTGAGCGTGACAGTCACTCATTTCGGTCACGCACATCCAATTTCCTCTTCAACCTTCCCGTTGGCCGAGGCGTCTGAGTCTGAGTCTGAGACTGAAGGTAATCCAAAAACCAAGCAGTTGCTATTGTGCAGTTTAGAACTTATAGATTTTTGGCTAGAAAACTACAACTTGTGTAGTTGTAGTCAGGAAGTGCGTCTGGATGACTGCTGCTTCAGGCTGCTTCAGGCGGACCTGTTGCGTCTCTCGGTTACACACTAACTAACTTACAGGCGTTCAGGCTCATCGGTGTGTGTGTTCACGCTGTGGCAGCAGGACGGAGGTGATGGCGAGCCGAGCATCTCAACGCTGATTGGCTTTCGCAAGACAGCGCCGGGCAAATTTTTCCGCTCTGTTCCTTCCGCTTCTTCGTGCCCCACGCGGCCTCCGCGCCGCCCTGTGACAGTTCAATGTGCTTCCTCCGCGACCTCTCGCGTCTGTGCATTGACTTTGCATGGGTTCAGCAATAATCTGCTTCGCTTTTGGTGTGAACGCAGCATAAAGGCGCTTTGGTCTATATGTTCGGATGTTGGCCTTTCATTTCTAGTTAAGCAGCTTTTTTTCCCCCTGAAGTGATCAATTATTATTGAAATCAGTGAACAAACAACTAAAATAAAGCTAAAAGAAGTTACTAAGCTGTAGCTTGCTGTATTTCTCTCCACTTGGGGGCAGCAGTGGGCTGAGGATCAGTCTGTGTCTTCATTGAAAGGGCAGTCTGTCAGCAGAGATGGTGGTAATCTAATAAACCCTGCCCTGTTCCTCTCTCTTTAGGGGTCAGGACGGATCCATATAACTCTGTTTTCACCTCTCACAGCACACTGTGTGTCAGGAACGCAAGGAGGGGAAGAGTCACAGGCCTTTCTGTTTTTGCTGATATGTGCTGCAGTCTCATTCAAGATTATGTGCCCTTAAAATGACTGATGCTCACTCAGCAAACACAAGGATCTCACACAATGTTACGTCATTCTGTACTCTCTTTGGGAGGAAAAGAAGCTCATAGAGGAAAAATAAGGACATCAAAATCATGTGTTTGACGTTTTTCTCACCTCAGCTAACAGTGGAAGTTGCATCTTTTGTGAATGAACTACATATTAGGTCATTTTAACCTTTTTATTAAATGCTATAATATACATTATATATAAAATAATGTGTGTGTCTACTGTTTGAGTGCGATGCCTGGTCAGATCGGACGATGTCTTTATCCAACTGGCAGAGTGGACATTAGAAACATTGCTGCACTGTGTCATAATTAGACAAAGGTATTACTCAGCATGTTCAATCATTCAAGTTAGCAGATAACATTCAAGTTCAACATTAGTAGAGTCATTTGTCAGATATGACAGCTGGCTGTAACACTGCAGACAGAATGACATCAATAATGTGGCATGGGAACATTTTTGTATACTTTTATATGGGATATTTGAATACATATAGATGGCTTTACTTCTTATGCAAACTGAAAGAAGCGCAGACTTATGACCTTTTAAATGTACGTCCATAAAGTTGGTGGACTCGATAGAGATGCCCTCCTTAGTAGATGAAATATTCACAGACCTGACACTTCTGTGTGCAGAAACAATTTCGAGAGGTGTACTTTTAGAGTAGACAACTCAAAGCTGGTCGATGACGTCAAAGGCAGTCTCACAGCGTTGCTAGACTATATAAAGACGTTCAGTTTATTAGAGAATGCCTGCTTCCCTTTCGTGCATTATCATGCAATGTTTTCTGATTGAAACAATGTTAGAGAAGAATCAATAGAGCCTCTGAGAGAAGTAGTGGGGATCTTAACCAG